ATTTATTTATTTATTTATTTATTTTTTTATTTATATTGGTTTTAGAGCAAGAGGAAAGGAGAGGGAGAGAGAGATAGAAACACTGATGCATCAACATATATTGGCTGCCTCCTGCATGCCCCTACCGGGGATCGAGTCTGCAACCCGGGCATGTACCCTGACTGGGACTGCTTGGTGCATGCCTTGACCCTCAACCACAGCCACACAGGGCCAGGCTATTTTCTCATATTTTCTGATATTTTAATAAGGAATACATAATTCTGGTACAGTATATTAAAACAAGTTTTTCAGGTACAAAATTTTAAAAAAGTTAACCAAACAGACTGGAAATTAAGCAGCCCAACAGAGGTTCCTTCTCATTTAAATGGCCACCCCACTTACTAGTATATACAAGGGAAGACCTAGGGATTGAAATAGGTAGGGCCAGACTTTGACTAGAGAGAATTGGAGTCTGGCCTCGCAGGTGTGGCTCAGTGGTTGAGCATCGACCTATGAATCAGGAGACCATGCTTTGATTCTGGGTCAGGGCACATGCTCGGGTTTGGGGCTCCATCCCCAGTAGGGGTTGTGCAGGAGGCCGCTGATCGATGATTCTCTCTAATCACTGATGTTTCTCTCTTCCTTTCCCTCTCTGAAATCAATACGAATATATATATAATATATATATTTTTTCCTTTTCTTTTTTAAAAGAGAGTCCTAGCTGGTTTGGCTCAGTGGATAGAACATCTGCCTGCAGACTAAAGGCATGTACCTCGGTTGCAGGCTTGATCCCTGGCCCTGACTGGGAGGCAACCAATCAACGTATCTCTCTCACATTGTTGTTTCTCTCTGTCTCTCCCCCTCCCTTCCACTCTCTCTAAAATTCAGTGGAAAAATATCCTCCAGTGAGGATTAATAACAAAAAATAAAATATCTTAAAAAAAAGGATAGAACATCGGCCTGCGGACTGAGGGGTCCCAGGTTCGATTCCGGTCAGGGGCGCATGTCTCGTTGCGAGCTGGATCCCCAGTAGGGGGCGGGTAGGAGGCAGCTAATCGGTGATTCTCTCTCATCACTGATGTTTCTCTCTTTCCCTCTCCCTTCTTCTCTGGAATCAATAAAAAATAACAAGTAACAAACAAAACAAAAAAAAAGGAAAGAATTGAAGCCTGCTTAAAATAGAGTAAATGATCAATCTCTAAGGTTCTATATTAACACTGTCCAATATCCTCCTATATAATAAAAAGCTAATATGCAAATCAACTGAATGGCAGAATGCTCAACGCAGGAGCTGCCCCCTGGTGGTCAGTGCACTCCCATTGGGGGAGTGCACTCAGCCAGAAGCCAGACTCATGGCTGGCGAGCACAGCGGCGGTGGCAGGAGCCTCTCCGGCCTCTGCGGTAGTGCTAAGAATGTCTGACTGATGGCTTGGGCCCGCTCCTTGCAGGGACATCCCCCGAGGGTGCAGGCCAGGCTGAGGGATCGCCCCCCACACCAGTGCACAAATTTTGTGCACCGGGCCTCTAGTAAATATAATACAAGCCACAGATGTAGTTTTATATTTTCCAATAGCCTCATTTAAAATAAGCCAGTGTGGCTTAGTTGGTTGGAGCACTGTCCTGTGCACTGAAAGGTTGTGGGTTCAATTCCTGGTTAGGGCACATACCTAGGTTGTGGGTTCGATTCCCAATTGGAGTGCATTCAAGAAGGCAACAGATCGATGTTCCTTTCTCACATCAATGTTTCTCTCTTTCCCTCCCCCCTCTCTAAAATCAGTAAGTAGGTCCTCAGGTGAGGATTAAAAAAACAAACAAAACCCAGTAAAACTAATTTTAATAATATTTTATTTAACCCAGTATATAAAAACTTATAATTTCAATCTATAATTAATATTAAACAATTAAATTATTTTATAGTCTCTTTTTCATACTAAGTCATTGAAATTGGGTGTATATTTGACACTGCCAGTACATCTCATTTTAGACTATTCATTGCTTCATGGGCTCAGTACCCATGTGTGACTATTAGTAGTTCTAGATTATAGAGAATTATTGTAGCCGGTAAAAATTTCAAAGCAGAGCTCTGGCCAGGTAGCTCAGTTGGTTAGAGCATCATCCCAATACTCCAAGGTTGTGGGTTTAATTCCCCATCAGGGCACATACAAGAATCAACCAATGAATGCATAAATAAATGGAACAACAAATAGATTTTCTTTCTCCAAAACCAATCAATAAATAAAATTAAGCAAAAAGAAAATTTCAAAGCAGGAGTAAAAAATGGGCATGGAACTACCAAGAAGCCAAGTATTTATGTTTAGTGAGAAAACTTTTCCCTTCCAGACAAAACTGGAGATATCCTCATTCATTTTACTAATTTAATTCTCCTTTTTGCAATTGCACTGACCATTCACTTCTATTAACACATTTTTCCTTCTTGAGCACATCACTGAGTTTCAGTTTTCCCAAAATTCTTCAGCTCTCTATTGATAGGTTATTACTGAAGGAAAATAATATACATAATGGGTGGATCTCATATTATTACATATACTAACTTTAAAAAAATATTCTCAGAGTCATCTCTTTGATGTTCTTTATACATTAATAACAGGCAAGAAATCAGATTTTACAGATGATTCACTTAGTTACCACTTATTGAGCACACAGGGATAGGGAATGGGTAAATATCAGTAAGATGGTATCCATGCCTTCTAACAGGGAAGTATCTTTACAAGTCACCATTCAAATGTCTTTTTTAATGTGTTTGAAAAAGTAATCATGCTTATTAGAGTAAGTTTGGAAGTTGGCGTTTTTACAAATTTTAAATAGGCCCTCTCACACACACACACATCACCACCACACAAAAAAATAATAATATGATACTGTGGAAAAATTTTAGAACATAGAAAATTATAAAGAAGATGATCAATCATAATCCTACTACCCGGAAAGAACCACTATTAATGTTTTGGCATATTGCTTTCCCATCTTTTATCTGTGCTTATATTTTATGATCATACTTATACATAATGTATACTCCAATTCTGATTATTATTATATAGCAAGCATTTTTCTTTATCATTAAAATATTTTGAAGGTATAATGACTATGAAAAATTACATCTATGTTTGTACAATAATTTTCCTGAAAATGCCCACTTGGACATTCAAGTTGTTTACATTTTTTCAGTTTGATGGATATTTTAATTCTCAAATATTTTCCCAGTTTTTAGATTATTTGTTAATGAAATATGTTTTAATTGATTTTAGAGAGAGAGGGAGGCAGAGGGAGAAAGAGATAGAAACATCAATGATGACAGAGAACCATTGATCGGCTGCCCCCTGCACGTCCCCTACTGGGCATCCAGCGTGCAACCCGGGTATGTGCCCTGACCAAGAATCAAACTATGCTCTAGTTCACACCCACCAGGCTAGATTATTTCTTTAGAACAGATGATAAGAAACACAATTGCTGAGTTAAGAATTTCAACATTCCTTTTTCTTTCTTTCTTTCTTTTTAACACCAAGCAACTTACAGGGCTACTGCTTCAAGAATTTCAACATTTTAAAAGCTTTTGGTGCCCTAACCGGTTTGGCTCAGTGGATAGAGCGTTGGCCTGCGGACTCAAGGGTCCCAGGTTCGATTCCGGTCAAGGGCATGTACCTTGGTTGCAGGTACATCCCCAGTAGGGAGTGTGCAGGAGGCAGCTGATTGATGTTTCTCTCTCATCGATGTTTCTAACTCTCTATCCCTCTCCCTTCCTCTCTGTAAAAAAATCAATAAAATATATTATATTTTTTAAAAAAGCTTTTGGTATATACTGCCAAAGACAAGACTATACTGGTTCTTGTTCCTTTTTACCCCCAATACCTAATTTTTTGGGTTTTTTAAAAATAAGATATACATAGTTTTAGTCATTCTTTATATACAATTTTGCATTCTACTTTTTTGGACTAACAAAAATGCTTATGTTATCACACACTATGTGTAAACCTTTTATTTTTATTTTGTTGGTTAATCCTCACCTGGGATCTTTTCTATTGATTTTTAGAGAGAGTGGAAGGGAGAGGGAGAGACAAAGAGAAACATCAATGTGAGAGACATATTGATTGTTTGCCTTCTGTACGCGCCTCGACCAGGGCTGGAGAACCTGCAACCAAGGTACGTGCCCTTGACTGGGATCGAACCTGGGACCCTTCAGGCTGAGGGCCAATGCTCTATCCACTCAGCCAAATCGGCTAGGGCTGTGTAAACCTTTTAATAGGTACATAATAATCTTTAGATGTATTATAGTTTGCCTACACACTTGTCTATTGTTGGAACTTAGTTTTTTTCCAGTTTCAGCATCAGATATAATGTAATCTTTGTGTTTTAAAACAAACCTTACAGTAATTTTGATAGATCTGAACTTTGAAAACTGACTTTTAATTCCCTGCTCACTTCTAATTAGTTTCATGACTTGGACAAGTTACTTTACTTTTTCCTCATCTGTAAAAAAGATATGGTTTTGGAAATACTTCCTAAGGTGGTCATGAGACTGCAATGAGATAATATAGTAAAGAGGCTAGGATCTTGCCTGTTACAAAATCAAGTGCTCAACAAAATTAGGAATGAAGGCATTTTTAAAAATCCCATTTCTCTTAATTGGTTTGATTAGATTAAACTAGGTCCCAATAAAACACCCAAATCTTTACTGGCTTAAGTACAGTATAAAAGGTTTTTCTTCCAGTGAACTCACATTGTAGAGCTTGTCTTCCGTGCTGAATTTAGTTCTCCCAGACCACTGAAGCTGATGAAGAAATTTTCAGGGAAATGTTTAGAGGACTGTGACTGTCACTCTGCTCCAAGTTCCCCTGTTTCTGAGGTAAGGATTTGCGAGAAAAAGTGAGTGAGGGGGGAAGAGTGGGGTATACTGAGAAGCTTGTGACTTTTGTTTTTGCAAACAGGGATGTCCTCTAGTCCAAATCCTCCTGCTCCTATTGGGGTTGTTTAACTATTTGGTTGGGCTCGTGTTAAACTGGCTTTCAAACCATAGCTTGGTCTGGCTACAAACATCCCTCTTGCCGACTTAGCACCTCCGTTCTTTCATTCTTAACAAATGCATAGGATCACTATCAAAATATGGCAACCCTGCCTTCCAGGACTAGGTCTCGCTGGTATCTAATAGTGCAACAGTGTGGTGGGATCCTGACTGGAGAAAGTCCTCTGGGGTCTGAAGGAGGGTTTGGGGGCTGGGAAAGCACTGAAGACGAAGGGTGGTACCCAGAGCCCCAGTCAATGCATCCTTTGTCAGCGAACATTATTGGACACTTAACTATGTCTAGGTATATTGCCCCACAGGGGAGATGCAAATATAAATAGGATCCAGCCTCTTATCTCCAAGCTCTGAGGACCTAGTTAGGAAACGCAACACAAAATAATTAAGGTCACAGTGAAGTAGTCCCCCCCCGCCCCCCCACCATGGGAAAGGAGGGGAGGCTAGTGGAAGGCTTCTCAGAAGAGGTTTGCAACGGTCTTGTTGAAGAGGAGCTGCAGGTACGGAGGCACCGACGGGTGCAGCTACACGCACTGCAGCGAGTGTGGAAATAACATTTGCGTAGTAGTCTAGTCCTGAGGTCTCTAAGCCACGGTGACCTGGACAGCAAGGGGCAGCAAACTCAGTCTGGGAGTTGTGCTGATTGGAGGGGCGACCCTTGGAAGCCGAGAGACCCATTACGGGGACAGAGCAAAAAGTCCAAGGAAGATAAGGAAGAGGCGAAACTGGGACATGCGCAGAGGTCTTGGAAAATACGTCCGTGCAGGAAGACGGAACGGAGAGGACTCGTGCCTGGTAGCTCTGGAATAAGGATTCCTCCCTGCTTTCTTGTTTGGGAGACCTGGTGCATGGTAGTACCAATAACTTGAATGGCAAAAGCAAGCTCCTTCTTGGGGACCTCCATTCAGAACCCTCCATTTCAAGCACTATCCCAATGTGCGGGTGCTTTTCTGGTCAGGAGACCAGTTGCCAGAAACCGCCGCAATGTGTCCGGCTCGTACCTTCCAACAGTTGGCAACCAGTAGTGTCAAATGGTGGCCACTTTAAGACTAGTCATGTGACCTGCGTTTTCCCGTGCGGTAAGCCCGGCGTGCCATTTGGGGGCAAGGTTCATCTATCAAAACGGATGTCAGCCCTTCGCGAGCCAATCGCCATCTGAGACTGGGCCACTGCGTCCAAGCAATCGGAAGATTGGTCCTTGCCACTTGTCTAGCCAGCGACCAATCACGAAGCGGCATATACCTCGTGCACCCGCCCATAAACGGAAGAAGCAGGAAAGTCGTCACAGCGTGGCGGTATTGTTACCTAAGGACTTGAGAGGAGGTGGGACGCGTGTTGATTGACTGGCCGATTTCACCTACCGGGATTTGAGAATTTGGAGCAATCCCCCGCCTCGGAGGTGGGGTCTTATTTGATTGCCAAGTAACATTCCCCAATGGAGTCTTAGCTCGTAGTGACGGGCAGGCTGCTTGACTAATGAGTCGTCGGCGTGGCCCGCACAGCTCTCCAATCGCTGGGCGGCGGGCCCCAGTATGAGTGGCGATGGCGGCGGCGGC